GAGAGGGGAAAGGTTCCAAAAAGGGGAGTGCGGTTTCAAATTGCAATCTCAACATTACTGCAAATTAACCTAAAGCTTTGGGCAGAAGCCCGGATCAGAATCGGAATCGGAATGTAAAAAGCATTTTAAATGGCAAAGCACAATATTTGGACCATTAAGAAGAGAAAGGTGTTTTGTTGAAGTGACGCAGCACTTTAAAACGCTTCATTTTTGATGCAAAAATAAATGTTTCCTTTAAAAAAAAAGAAATTCCTTGGGGCTACTCTGGCCAGATAGCCAAGTCCTACTGAAAAAAATATTATTTTTTTTTTTACTTGTATAAGATTTTGTAAGTTTGGATCTTAAGAGAAGCAATTGTGTGTAGCCAAACTCTGCTCCTCTCACCTTTCCCTGCCCAAAGGGGTAAACGCTGAGCGTCACCTCCTCCTCCTCCGGCTCTGGAGTCGTGGCTCCCCCACCATTCCGGTGTCCCCAGGCCATTCCGGTGTCCCCGGGTCCCAGCAGCAGTTGGGAGGGCTGGTTTCAGCCGGGAGGGGTCAGGATCTGACCTGGGAAATGCTGGTGAGGCAGGTGAGGAGAGAATGAGGAAGAGCAGTGATTGAACAAGAGAAGATGGAAGCAAAGCGGGTTCAATTAATTTTGTACGACTCTCCCGGTTTGCTGGCCGGGCACCCAGTGACACCCAGTGACACCCCGCTCCGAGCCTGTGCCGTTTGCACCCCGAGCTGCTCAGCACCCCGTGTCAGGCTGCTGCACCCCTCGCCTTGCCCAGCACCCACACAGCCCAGGGTGCTGCTGCCATGTGGGGGGGCACATCAAAGGTGCCTCAGGGGTCTCATGCTCGAGCTGCCACCCCCAGTTCTGCCCATGGCTCAGAGGTACCAGTACCCCCCCCCCCAGCACTCCCCAGAGCCCTCTGGATGGCTGCCATCCCGGTGGGAGCACCCCCTCACCACCCCTCGCTCCCGGCTTCACCCCCTGCTCCGGGGGGAGCTGCACACGAGCCTCCCAGTGTCACCCCCTCCCCGCTGGCTGGGAGGGGGGGCTGCAAACGCTGGCAATGGGGAGCCCAGGCGGCCTTGACCCCGGTGGCAATCGCCTTGGAGAGAGCCCGAGCCGTAGGGGAAGATCAGCACAAAGAGGGGTCTGGAGTGTGATGGGTTCCCCAGGGCAGGACGGGCCGGGAGGTGATAAGGCAGCACAATGTCCAATTGTTCTCCCTGACGCCGGGGGGGCCCTGCTTCCTCCAGCCCCCCCGAGCACTCGGGGGGCGCAGGAACAGGCACTTGGGGTTAGGGCTGGACACAGCTCGGGTCCACCGAGGTCTCCAGCCAGACCCAGAGCTTCGCAAGACCTTTGGATAAACTTTCCTTCCCGGCTCCACCCCAGCCCGGGGGGGATAGACTTTCCCTCCCCAGCTCCCCAAATGACTTTGGCCTTCCTCCCACTCCTGAGACCTTGATCTTCCTCCCAGCCCAGGCAGCTCATCACGCAGCTGGCTACGGCTCCTTACACTTTATCCCCCGTCAGCTGCGTGGCTCAGCTCCTGCTGCTGCTCCTCCAGCCAAAACCCTGCGGCCCCCAGGACCCCCGACCCCCATCCCAGCAGTGACAGGGACCCGACAGCTCTGTGTCTCCTGGGGCTGCTTCATCGGGGTTTTCCCCTTGGCTGAATGGCAGGAACGAGCCGAGATGTGGAGGGAGGTGGAAGGGGGCAGTGAGGACCTGCGGCCCTGGGGAGCAGCGGGGACACAGCACCTGCACCCCCCAAGTGGGGCAATTAGAGCTCACAGCAATTTGTCTTTACATTTGGGCTCTTTGGGTTGGCTCAGGCAGCAGCTGGGAGCAGGGCTGCAGTGAGGAGTCAGGGCTCAGTCACAACCCCATCAGGATAATGGCCCCAGCGGTTTTATTTCGGTCTCTTTCCGTGCTTCCAATGACGTACTCACGGAAGAGACCAAAACCAGCATTTCAGCCATCTTGAATTTGCTTTCTCCTTTGATGCCAAGTCAGAAATTAAAAAAAAATAACAGAACCTAGCACTCAGAAAGCACCGTTCCCCGCTCCTCTGCACTATCAGCTTTTTCCCCCTCCGGGGCCGTGTCTACCTGTTGCAGGGAAAATTCCCAGGGTCGTTTTGGAAGCACCGCTGCCCTTTTCCTGCAGAAATCAGCCTCCTCGCAGCTGGGTGCAGTTTTCACCAGCTCCTGGGTGCTGGATGTGGCCCTTAATTAGCGCAGGAACCCAACCAAACCGCAAATGCTTCCATCCACTGCTCAGCCAGCCGTTGTCTGCCTGAGCCACAGTCTGGGGGAGGAAGCACAAAGAAGGGTTTTTAAGAGACGTTGCAATCCTGAACCACAAGCACACACATTTCATCAGCAAATAAGCCTCGCTTCAGGGTACTAATTAGAGAAAGAAAGTTGTAACTTTTCAATGAGGAAGCAATCGCCGATTTTTATTTTAATGGTACAATAATTGCTGGCTGGTGATGGCATCAGTCCCGACCTCGTGCTGCCTGTGGATCCCAGGGTGGCCGTGGGAGGCTCTGGCTTTGGGGGGCTGTGTCCCCTCTCGGGGCACCCCCGAACACCCTCAAGAGGAGGTTTGCTGTGGGTCCCGCTCAGGAGGGTGCTGGGGTGGCCACGCACAGCATCCCCTGCAGCAAAACCCTCGCCCACGGGGACAAGGGGTTATTTATTACTCACTTTGTCTGGCACCCGTCGGTCCTGGCTCTTCCTCTTGGGTCTTTTTTTTGTGTCTACAAATATTTGCCTCAGTTTGCCGAGGCCTGGCTGGTGGCTTGGGGCAGCTCCCGTGGTGCTGGGCCAGAATCCAGCCATTTTCAGGTGCTTGGCAAAGTCTGGTGTGTGCCTGGGGAGGGTCCTGGTGGTGCATGCATCCTGGGGAGGCAGCTGTCATGTCCTGCATCCCAAATCCCATGTCCTGCAGGCTCCATCCGATCCCATGGCCAGGCTCTGGTGACAATCTGGCCACATGTTCAGTACCAGACCCCCGTGCTGGAGATGCAGGTCCCACAGGGACGGCAAGAGCCCCTGTCCATGACTCCCAGCTTTCCCAGCCAAAGTCTGACGATGATTTGGGTGGAGGAGGAGGTGAAGAGGACCTTCTCCACCACCACCAGCTTCAAAATGGACTGCAAGCACCCTGTAAAAGACCCAGATAAGCCAAATTTGGTGGGTTTTTTTGCCCTTAAGAGAGCAGTGGAGCTGCACACACCAGTACAATCCAGACAGCCTTTTCTAAGCCCAAATTTCTTGAGCCTCTGACCCTCGCAGACTCCCTGGACTTGGCAGTTCCCAAATCCTGGTGTCACCCTCAGGTGCAAAGGCCACCCAGAGCCACTGCAAACCTCTGCTGTGCTCGGGGTGCCGGCGATGGCAGAGCCCTGGACCCACATTTGGGGAGGGGACAGTTGTCTCAGCCCCCCAGGAGCAGGGCCCGGGGGAGCCACGTCCCTGCAGGCTGCTGGGGGGGGCTGGGGAAACAAATGCACAGGAGCACACGTGTATTCCAGAAACTCCTATTAGCTTTTGGCTTCGGCTTAGCAGGAAATAAGATTATCAAGCAAGAGGTGACGCCTCTGGAGCCTGGCACCGCTTCAGGGAGCGATCCATCACGGGCTGTGGGAGTGGGATGGAGCTGCAGGAGATGCAGGGGATGGGGCTGGTGATGCCCCGGCCCCTGCCAGCCCTGGGGGTCCCAGGGCCAAAGCCCATCAGTGTGGGGGGTGTCAGCCAGGCCCCATATAGTTTAAACACCAGTTTGGGGTAATTGCACAGTGACCTCTGAAAATACAGCCGGGTCTGCCTTCATCTAAGCTTCTCCCAGCAGCACCTTCCTCTCCAGAGCCCCAGGAATGCCAGATGCAGGAATGCTGAGAACATTCACCCAGTGCCTCAAACAACCCCCCTTAGATCATCCTTCATTTCATAACCCCCAAAATCGCAGGAGTTTAGATGGGGTGGATGTACCTCTCTCTAAATTAGCCTTCAGAAATAAGAGCTTGCAAGGAGTGGTGGAGAAAGATGAGCATTAACAACAGGACAAACCAAACCCATCACCAGCTACAGACCAGACCCTCGCCCCGACCCCGGAGCAGACACACACTGAGTGTATTTGCCCACACAAGAGACAGAGAGCACAGCCAGGGCCCTGAGCCACGTGTTGGCACTTGCACTGTCTCTTACAAACCCTTTCAGTAAACATTCCCTAAATGAGAATATTCCGGGGAGGTGCCCGGTGGAGCCCTGACCCTCGCAGGCTGCTCCGGCTCGGCCGACCCGGGGGACCCACACATCACCCCCCTTGAACCCGGCACTGACTCGTGATGGGGGATGCTTTTAGAAATGCTGTGTATATTTTCTGCCACCACAGAAATCGCTGTGAGTGATTGCCCTTCGGGCTGCAGCCCGGCTGGGTTTGCCTTTCCAACGGCTCACAATAGAAAAATCTCTCTGCAGAAGAATTTGTTGAAAACCAGTTGAGCGGGAGGGAGAGAGGGACGATTGCTTTGTCATGGTCTCCCTGCCCTGGCACGTTGTGTGGCCTTTATGAATGCAGTAATCCTCCCTCGCTCCCCGCTTGTCAGAGAAGATGCCTGACTCAGTATTTCTCAGTAACAGCAGTTACTATTTTTTGCCTTTGTTTCCAACTCCAGTGTCTGCCTCTTGGTCTAACGCTGTTGGTGAACAGCAGCACACGCTGAAGCCCTGCAGAAGCCCTCAGTGACTTGCAGATACTACAAAGCCCAAGTGCTGTAAGCGTGGGGTGTTTGACGTGGTGGCACTGCCCTCCCCAGGGACGGGGACTCGTTTCCTCCTGGGGTCAGAGCCAGGGTTTCAGGGGTCAGAGGCAGGGTTTCAGGGTGCAGAGGACCCCGTGGCTGAAGGCAACACAACTCTGGACACCACCAGCCCTTCTTTTCTCTCTAGAAGCTTGCTCGCTAAGGAAAACAGCATCACAAAAATGCTTCATTTTCACAGCAGCTAAACGTGGCAGAAAAAGGCTAACGCAGGCCCTCAGAGAGTGCCATGGTTAATATTTATAAATTCCTTTCAAGAACAGCTAACACACAGCCAGTGCTAAATGTTATTCTATTAACCCCAGCCCAGCATCTTAACACACATCCATGGTCCGGCTTAAAGTTTAACCTTTGTTTTAATTAGGTAACAAAACCCTCTCTTCTGGGTCTTCATTAACTCAAAAGTGGATACAGAAGAGCCCCCTTTGCCTCCTGTTTGTGCTCTCCCAAAGCTCCGGGTCTGCCCCTTCCCAGGATGAGACACAGGCACTTTAAGAGGAATGAAATCACCCCGGAAAACTGCAGCCTCCAGCACGGTGCCAGCGGGGAGAGATAACGATGAGAGGAGAGCAGAGGGGGAAACAGTGATTAAAATGATCTGGTGACCGAAATACCTCACCCAGGGTCGCTTACTGGTGTGGGAAAGGCAGCTATTCCAGAAAGCTGGAAATCCGAGGGGCATAGATGGGAATCCATCCCACGGGGCGAGAGAGCCTGGAGCTCCCTGTGGCAGCAGGTCACCCTCCACCCCCCAGTGCCAGGCTTTAATTGTGCAGGGCAATAATTACAGGTCACCAAGCAATTACCATCTTCCTCCTTCAAGCCCAGGTGCCGTGCTCCCTGCCACCCCTTCCCCTGGCAGCCCATGGCTTCAGCATGGGACCACCAAACCCTCCCAGCTCCCCAGCTGCACTGCCAGGTGCTGGGTTGGAAAAATCTGCTCCCACCTGTGACCTCCCACAGCCCCTTACTGGGGTGCCTGCTGCCTGTGTATCCCCTTCCCAGGGTGTGTACCCCCTTACTGGGGTGCCCGTTGCCTGTGTGCCCCCTTGACCTCCCACAGCCCCTTACTGGGGTGCCTGCTGCCTGTGTATCCCCTTCCCAGGGTGTGTACCCCCTTACTGGGGTGCCCGTTGCCTGTGTGCCCCCTTCCCAGGGTGCCAGCCCCAGCCCTGGCCCATAATAGCTCCGTGCCATTGAGTCAGAGGGTGACATCCAAACCCCCTTTGTCCCCTCCAGACTCATTTCTGGAGTGGCGATGCCCTGTCCGAGTTGCCCTCCCAAAGGTTTGTGCTTTGCCCACAACATTCTAGACACACACACACACACAGAGGTCATAAATGACTCACGACTTTCTTGTGCTCAAAAAGCCTGCCCGTCCTCCTGGAGCTGAATTTAGGTCTGTGCTTCAAGAGTCGAAATCTGGGTGTCAGCCTTGACCTCGGATCTTTTCTTCCCACATCTCTGGAGTTAGTAAATCCGCCTCTCCCACCTCCAGACGAGCCCTGCCAGCACTTGCCCCTGCAGGGACCTTATTTCTGCATTTCTTCATCTTTCGTTTTTCTTCTGAGCTCACCAGCAGCACCTCCCAGAGCAGCTCTCACCACTGACCCGTGCAAGCCACCTCCAGTGACCGTGGCTGGACAGCTTCTCCTCCAGAGATGTCCTCAGGCATCCCCAGCACCACTCAGGGACAATCTCCTGGTGCCCAGTGCTGCCCATGCCCTTCCTCACCAAGCTCACACCTCCTCCTCCTCCACCCATGTGTCCTTCTGCATGGAGAGGGTGGTAGACACAATCTTCTCCTGGCACTACCAGACAGTGCTCCTCTACCCCTCCAGGCCTTTCTCTGGGTCCTGTGAGAGGGACCCACGACCCCAAGGTGGGACCAGCCCCGGTGGTGGTCACTGCGAGGTGCAGTCAACCTCCTGGACTCAGCTCCCAGTGAGCACCCCCAGCCCAGGGGCAGCAGGCAGGCAGCCTGCCCAGCCTGAGAGCTAAGTGTCGGGTACTGTCACCCTCGTTTACTCAGGGTGGCCCCAAAATTGCACGCCCAGCCTGGCTGATGTGTGTGTGGGTCACAGCACAAGAGCAGGAGCCCCCATTGAGTTCTCTCAGCTCTCGTCCCAGGCGGACAGGAGGGGGAGATCTTCACCGTGACAAGCCCAGGCTGAGCGGCAGCAGATGAGCTCCAGGTCCCAGCTCTGACACTCCACGCACCATAAAACCCCCTGAAAGTGGTGGCTGGAGCTCAGCACCGGGAAGATGTGGCAGCTTTCTGCACATCTCCTCTGCCCCACGCTGCCTGGGACCATCACACACACGTAGCCACGGGCACAGGCCACCTTCTTCTGCATCTCTGCACCGTCCAAGCAGGAGATGGACCACCCTGTCCCCCCCCAACCCCCAAGCTGCTTCCAAACTCCCCCACAGACCTTGCACAGGGCTGTTCCCACAGCCGTGGCCTGGCAGCTCCCCAGAACTGCCCTGCCTTTCACCCACTCTCATTATTTTTTCCCCCGGAGAGGTCACTCGGTAATTCTCTAACAGCTGCACATCCTCACAGGGCATGTTTACGTTACACATAAGAATACTGCTCAGTTGGGTACATTTTCCACTGGAATTTCCACCTCCCTTTATACTCGAGTTTCATTCGCAGGTCAAATCTTGGACGTGAAATACAAGTATTTAACATCAAGTAAAACACCCTCCCTTCCCCTTCCTTGATATTCCCTTTGCTGCAGGGTGTTCTGAAAAGCTTCCGACTGATGGGAAGAGTTTCCTGACTCCTAAACTGCCGGTGTGGGAGGGCTGTAGCTCACACCTAACCTGGTGTGGATGCGACCCTCTGTGGGTACCACACATCACACAGAGCGGTGCAGGCAGGCAGGGGATGCCCATTTACCCCCTGGGCACTCTGCAGCCCAGCTCCTGAGAAAGAAAAAGACAAAAAGCCTGGGTTTGCCCAGGGCTTCGAGAGCAGATCCCTTCAGGGCTCACTGACTGGGTGGGCAGTCACCGGCATCAGGCATTTTGGGGGATGTTGCTGTGAGCCAGCAGAGTTTGGATCGTGTTTGTGCCCTGAGACCAGCCAGGTCTCATAGGGGAAAGCTGCCCTGTGCTGGGATGCATTTATGTAACTTTGAAAAAAATTCAACTTTTAAAAATTCATCAGTCTCTTGAATTGCACGGGGATGGAGACACCCTATAAACACACACAACATCAACAGCAGCATGCGAAGCCCCTGCAAGCAGATCCCTGCCTCCTGCTCCTGGCACTCCGGTTATTCCATGCCAGGGACACGATGCTGTTGCGGCGCAGCAGGGAGGCAACACTCACATCCCATGGGAGCCACAAGGCTACCTGTTTCTCCCAAGGTTTTTTTCTACTTGGCTGATCCAGGGCATCCATCGGCAGCACCCTCGGCTGCATCCCTGGGGGCCAGCCTGACCCCACGGCTTTCCCCTAAACTGGCTGTGGAAACACCGGGCAGGACAAACATCCCCGTGTCTCTGTGCTGCCCACTCGGGAGCTGGAAATAAACGGCGTGGGTGTCCCCTGCAGGGACAGCGCTGCCGAGCGCTCGGGACAGCAGCCCTCTTCCACCAGGTAGCTAAAATTGTCTCCTGCGATGTGCTTTTTCTGGTCAGCAGCCCTCTTCCACCAGGTAGCTAAAATTGCAGACTTGTCTCCTGCGATGTGCTTTTTATGGTGGTTTGTTGTTTACAGGGATGAGAAAGGGTAGAAAAGCCTTCAAAAAAAAACAAAAAACAAAACCACTATCTCCTTCCCTCCGAGGGGACTGTTATGGAAACTGGAGGCAGCATCCGAGACAGGGCACTGTTTTCCTTGGAGCGGTGCAGGAGCGGCTGCCTGTTCCTGCCTGATCCTGCCTATTCCTGCCTGATCCTGCCCACCCCTGCCTGATCCTGCCCACCCCTGCCCATCCCTGCCCACTGACACCCAGCTGTGGCCACGGTGCCTTCCTCACAGATGGCACAGCAAGGACCAAACTGGTCCCCACCTCTTTAGGGACACAGGTGCCTCCGTACGACCCTGTCCGGGACAGGGAGGACCAGGATTAGGGCTGTATCTTCTAGCGTGACCTGGCATGTCCCGGCGTGTGATTCATGCCCCTTTCTAGGCTGGAAATGGGGATGACAAAGGGACAGCCCGGTGCCCACGGGCCTCCAGAGCCACCCACTGCCTTCAGCTGAGAAAACCCCCAATTTTTGCCTAAAGATCAAAGAAGTGCTCTACAGACAGCATGAGGGGGAGATGCACACCTTCTGTCACAAGTTTACTCCTGTGGCTACTTGTCCAGGGCTAATTCTGGGTTTCTTCTCTGAGCACCTCATCTGCACGTAACAAGACTCAGCTCTGAGCTTGCTTTGCTCTGCTCTCTCATTTGAAACCTTCCTTGCATGCTCTTATGCACTGCACTTTCACGTTTTCTCCAGCCCTAAAGTCATGCAGATAAGAAAATTATTATTTATTGGAGAATTTTCCTGGTAATAGCAATTATTATCTCAAGCTTTTGTTGCACTGTTAAGATATTGAGCAACAGAGTGCTCAGGAAAACCCAGCCCAAGCTGTTTACTGAGGCAGCTCAGAGAAAGAACACAGGCATGAGCTCTGAGATGCTAAATTTAAAATAAGATACCGAGCAGCAGAGTTAAGAACAGAATTCTTCCTGCCGTTTTTTCTTAGAACTTAACAAGACAAGCTATATAGTCCTTCTACAAACATTTCAGAATGAACAAAATTAACTCCCTGCGCATTTTCAGCCTAGAAAAATCTCTGTTGAGCTTATGGTGAACCCAGAAACCAAGTGATTTTCCTTGGACCAACCGAGACCAACGCTATGCTGGAGGAAGCTTGATTTCTGAGCGATGATATGTCTACTGATGGTTAACCACGAGGATGGATGTGGGGTTTCACTTGGCCGGGAGATGAAACCCTCAATTCCAGCATCCTCTGCTTCTTTGGGGAAGGACATGGTATAAAGTCTGAACCCAAACTCAAATCGCAGTTTTGAAGCCTGAGCCAGCCCTTGGTGGAGCTTGGCCACCCTTCAGAGGGGCAGCTGCAGGAAGTGTTGCATCCGCCACCACGTGAAAATTCCTGCTTTTAGCTCCTAATTCGAGCCTCATGCCTTATTAGCAGGAGCAGACTGAGATTTCGGACCCGTCTGAGCCCTGAGAGATCGGCGGGGGCTGGGGGCTGGTGGAGGGGGAGGAAGAGGAGCAGTGACCAGGCACGGAGCTGAGATGGGGCCATCAGCAGGAGGCTTGGCTTGCGGTGGGACCAGGGCTGAGACGGGATATGGCACAGGAGAACCAGATCAGTCCCTTGGCGTAACATCACTGCATAGAGTGAAATTTGGGGGGTTAGAAGCTGTCATTTGGTGTCAGCTGCTGGTTTTATGGGGCAGAGCTGACCTGCAAACAGCAGCTCCCCGCTGCCAGGCGTCTGCATCTCCCGTATCAAAACGCTCCACGGGACAGAGAGAAGGGAGGAGAGCTGGAGAAAAGTGCCCACAACCACGGACAAAGCCATGAGAAGCTTGTCCATGGCCAGGAGCGGCGACGGCTGGCACTGCCATCTGTCTGTCTGTCTGTCCGTCCGTGGGCGCAGCCACACCTGCAGCTCCAGCCCAGACAGCCCCAGTGCCCTGCTTTGTGGTCTGACATTTTGCCCAGCGTCCTGCACGGACAGCGGGGGCGGGTGGCGGGGGGGGGACAGTGACATTTGCAAGTCGGGTGAAGTGTCTCCCAGCTTATCCTCCCTGCCCAGCCTCCCTGCCCGCCTGGGAGAGGGTCCTCAGCAGGGTGTGGATGGGGTCTCCCCACTGCAGGGCCCCCCCATGCCTGGGGGCTGCTGAGCAGGAGCCAAGGGGGGAGATGTCACTTCACCCCTCCATCCCCATGCTGGGGCACACCAGGTGCCCCCCTCCCAGAAGGGTTTCCTACATCATCACAAAACATCCCAACCTGCAACAAGCCATTAGTTTTCACAGCATCCCCTGTGGTTCCCACTCCCTCCAGATGCTCTTCCCCTGGGAAGCAAACCCAGGCAGAGCCAGGGGGGAGAGGAGAGCACAGCCCTGCACTCACCCACCCACTGCCTGGTGGCAAACGCCCAAAACAAGGTACCTGCACCTGGTGTGTTGTCCCTGAGTCCTCAGCAGCATTGGCAGCTCAGAGCCATCCTCTTCAGGTGCCAGAGACGAGACCATGAGGACTGAGTAACTCGTGGCACATGTTGGCGGCTGCTCCCACCACAGGATGGAGGTGCCGGGAAGCAGCTCTGCAGGGAAGCACAGGAGAAGGGATGATGCTTTACCTTGGTCTCAGCGTGAGCCTGCGAGGGGTAAAAAAGGCACTTGTGAAAGGCAGGGAGTGTGTACCATCTCCTGGAGGGAAGGGGAAGACCTCTGTGCTACTCCATTAATTGCCCTTTGTAATTAGGATGCCTGGGGCAGCAGAGTTGGAGGTGACACAGCCAGTCCCTGGGGATGAGGGGGGTGAGCACTGGGTGCAGCTGGGTCCCGGGCGACCCCCTGCCAGCACGGGCACAGGGGTCACAGCCACGTCCCTGGCAGCCCAGCCCTGAGCCCACGGTCCTTGCTTCGACCCCGGTCCCCAGGGAAGAGCTGCAGCTCCATTGCTGAGCACACTGCAATGAAAGCATCCTCCTGCTCTGGATGGACCAGCCTCACCCCCAAACACCAGGAATGGTGTCCTAAAACAAGGACGAGCCCAGCCTGGGGAGGGAGGGAGGCAGGGACGGGGCAGGGGAGCAGCAGCCACCCCCTCTCTCCTCCCAGTAATCAGACAATTGCATTATCTCTTACTACAATGCCCAAAGGTGTCCCCTTGGATGCTCTGAGTGCAACACGTCTCCCACCCCATCCTTGGCTGGAGAGACTGAGCTTTTGTGAGTCTCTGTCCAGTGTGTTCTTTCCGTGCAGCAGGTCCCACGCATCTGGCTTGCTCTGAGAGTTTGGGCTCAAATCCCCCACGTGAGGCAATGGGATTTGGATCTCCAGCCAGAGCTGCTCGCGGACGTGTCCGTGGGCTTGGTCCAAACCCAGACAGGACACAGGGGGCAAGACCCTCCGGGCAAAGCTCCTGCTCTTGGCCTGGATCAGCTCCTGGATCTGGAACTGTAATTAAGTTAATCACCAGATTGCAAAAGGGTGTGGGTGGGGAGGTGGGAGAGACTGGAAGATAATTAGAAAGCGGATCATCACCTTGTTTTCCTGTCTCCCCACGGATGCCACCAGTTTGCTGAGACGTGGCAGTGGATGTCCCAGCCTAAAGGAGAAGCTGGGATGTCCCAGCCTCAAAGCCAGGCAGGAGTCACTCACGGCTTTGGAGCAGACGTCTGGCTGTTGGCAGGCTCAGGGAGGTCCTCCCCGCTGCGGTTCTGCCCCCGAGACACGCACACATCCCCACGGCCCTCTCTGCCCCACAGAACGATGAGACAGGAGCTAAACCAGCACTGGGATGGCATGAAATGACCAAACCCAGCCTCATCGATGTCGTGTCTCTCCGGTGGAGTACGGAGGCACCTCAGGCAGGACAGGGCTCCTCACCAGGGCTGGGGCAGTGCCACAGTGTCCATCTGGGGCTGCCGAGGGGCTGGAGGAGGGGGCAACCATGGGGACCTGACCCCTGAACGTGCATTTCCCTGGGGCTGGCAGTGGCCCAGCAGCACAGGGTTTCCCCCAGGGCATCCCGAGTGGTACCAGACTTTCTGTCCTCACCTGGAGCAGGTGCCCTTCTCTGGTACGGTCATTTATTTTTAAATGCTGCCTCCGGGGGATGGTGATGGGTTAAACTCTGCTGCACTTTGTAACTTCCAACCCCTTGTCCCAAAGCTTTTTCTTATCTCTCTTTACCACGATGCTCCAGGTGCTTATCATCAGCTGGTTTTCTGGCAAGAAGCTCGCTCGCTCTTGCCGTTAGTGATACCCACTCGGTAAATTGCTGAAAGTTTCACATTTACACTCCTGGCTGTCTCACCCAACACAAATCTTGTGTGACCAGACTGGAATGACTGCATTTTCTGGTGGAGCAGGCACTAGTTACATTAATTTCTAGAGTTTTGGTCACACTTTGTACCACATATTCCACTTAGAGAGGGTAAGACCCGACCGATAAATATTTCATTAAGCAGTTAATCATATTGTTAGAGATAAAATCATCCTGCCAGAGATAAAACCATCTTGCCATAAACACTGACTGCAGAAACAAGCCAATGCATTCTGCTGATAAGCACAAAATGACCTGTTACGTATTTAGGTTCTGTCTAATCATTTATTAAATGCTTCTAAGGGGATTCACAGGATTCATTTCAAGGAATTCGAGCTGTGCCCGGCACCGCCAGCCCTCGGGAGGGAGGCAGCCCTCACCCTGGCTGTGCTGCTGATAACCCCGGACCCACCGTGGCCACAGATCTCTACAATTTATGATGAATAAAACCCCTCTTTATCCAAGAGATGTTTCCTCTGCACGCTCAGGCAGCCCTTGGATCACCCCAAAGCTGTACCCGTCAGCACAGCACTACTCAGGAATCCCTCAGGAAGGGGAATGGGTGGAGGAAAGCCAGAGCCTGAATTCCTTAAAAATATTCTACCTGTTGTAAGAGCTTCCCCTTCCCACACGCAGTGTCTGAGCTGCCCGGGAGGTGACTGCCCCATCCAGGGGGGTACAGCCAACAGTGGGAGTGGGGAATGAGCCCATCAGGAGGTGACACTGCCTGATCACAGCCGAGTCACACACCCGGGAAGAAACACCAGTTCTGCTTTAATGGAGAAAATGACACTTTCTAAAGTGAAAGCACTCGTGGTGTTTCCACTGGGCTCACCAGAGCCCAAGTCAGGAGCCGCTGATCTCATTAACTGAAGTCTGACAACCTCAGAGGACGCCCGGGTTGAGCTGGCTTCTCGCCCGTTTGGAGTTTGCTGGATGATCTTTATCTGATCAGCGAGATGACAACTGGGATTAACTGCACTTTTCATCAATGCTTCCACACTTGTTCTGAGAAGTGCTTAGCAGAGGCCATCCACAACATTTCTTTCCAACCCGATATAAAGGATTGTATCCAAAGCCAAGGACAAATTTAATGTATTTGAGTCAATCCCCAATCTCGTTTTAACCCATGGTAGGTGAGATACTTCTGGCTTCCCCCATGTTGTAGCCGGGTATTTTATACTTGAGGAAAAAAAATGGGCTCACCTTAACTGGTCACCTCCCAGCTTCAGGGACAACCTGTGGGACAGAGGCAGCGTTTGGGTGTCAGAGGTTGGGAGGAGGCCATGCCAATGATCCAGGGTGCTCAGCTGCAGACACCACACCGGCATCCACCAGCCTCTGGTGCAACGTGTTTTCACAAGCACGCGAAGTTCCTTCAACCCATCTCAGGAAAACACAAGTGAGGAGGAGTCTAAAGAAAAAGGAGTAGAAAGGAAGTTTTGGAGGGATGGGAAGGAGAGAAAAACAGGCAGGGAAATTTTAGCAACAGGACAAGGGACTCCATCTCCCCACAGTTCCTCACCACTCTTGGTGTGGGTAACCCTTGCAGTCTCTGACGAGATGGATCATTAAGCTGCTAACGAGTTTAACTGGTGGGTGAAGGTCTGTGGGTGGTTGTGGAAGATGCTCATCTCCCAGCTGAGAAATAACGAGTTCCCAACCTCATGGCCTGCAGCTGCTGCCTGTGTACAGAGGGGTGGCCAGACAAGGCATGGGGAGCAGGGACCACAGGGAGCAGAGACCACCACGGGGACAATCCCCTGGGCAGAGGGACATGTCCAGTGGGTGCCCAGCTCTGCTGGGAGCCCCATGAAACCCAGCACGTTTCTTCTCCCCTTGGCTCCTGCTACCAAAAACCTGGGGCATTCATGATACTAATGGGAGGTTAGTCTCAGCTGGCCACTACATTTGTGTCACAGAAGCCACGAGAGAACCACAAAAATACCCTTGAAACCACAAAGAGCCCTGTCTGAGCATGACCTGGCAACCCAGACATGCAAAAACCTTATGGGCCACTAGCAGCCCCCCAAGTTGCCAAGGTCTCATCAGCACCACCTTTGTAATGCAGCGAAGGGGAGCAGAGTACTGTCGAGTGACACCTGCAATGATTTTAGAATGGGAAGGGAAAAGGACCTCACTCCTTTTCCATGGCCCCCGGCCTGCACCGCTATTCCAGAGCTCACACAGAGTCCGCCTGTTATTGGCAACGCAACTGGCCCTGGATGCTCAGACTCAGACGCTTCCAGAGTTTGGGGTTTCACATCAAAGCCACTGGTTTGGCCACGGCAGCGGCAGCGGTCGGTGATAGAGTTTGGAACCCAACCCAAACTTCTCAGAATTTCACAGCTATTCCGGTCCCACACCGGGCTCATCTCCCCTCGCCGTGTGAGGAGCACGCACGCTGCCGTGCTCCAGCCACCAGAGCTCAGTAGGACCTGCTTGAAGTTAAAAAGAGAGTTAAACCCAAATGTTAAGTCGTTTTTTGCTTCAGAAAGCTATTTCTCATCTTTTGGGGTTCTGACATCTCCTTCCACAGCCCAGGAGGAAGAGCTGAGTGTCCCCGGGCTGCTGGTGGAACACTCTGCTCCCTGGGCCTGCAGACAGAGCTGGGGTCACCCCGGAGCAGATGCCCCAGGTCCAGCTCCCAGTGATGATGCTGATCATTCCCTGTGGTGGTTTTCTCTTAGGATACCCAGCACGGGAAAGCTACAGGAGTGAAGGGGATGAGCTTGTTATACAGGGACTGGAGGAAAGAGAGCCATGAACACAGCTGGCCTTGGACAAACACTCTCCAACTGGGGCTCCATCCTACTGTCCCAGTCTGACCCGCCGTGTCAATGCTCAGCAGCAACCATCCCCCTCTTACAGCAACCTCCTCTTGGAATATTTTCCTTTCTCCATGGGGCACCAAATATCTGCTGGAGTGCGGTGCCTCTCAGCTTAGCATCTTGGAGAGAGCTGCTTTCTGTTCTGCTTTGAGCTACTTAATAATTTTGTTGGGCTTCTACCCAAAGCAACAAGGCCCTTTATGTTGTCTTTGGTTCAGGTTCTCTCCCTCACTCTTGCATTTTAATTCCCATAAAAACCCAACATTCCTGCCAAAAGTACAATAGTAGGGCCATGAGTGGTGGTGTGTAGAGTACCGACTCCACGGCCATAAAAGCATGAGAACAGCCATAGAATTTAGCAAGGAGAGACAATGGGAGTGGAAAATAGTGTTTGTTCTACTTCTCTCATGGAGTCGAAGGCAGCTGGCGAGCACTAACTTCATTCTAAAAATAGTGGATGCCCTCGAACGGCGTCCCAGCCCCCTCCTCGCTCGTGCTGGCTGCAGCTTAAGTTTGCCAAGACCCTGATCTGAGCTCTTGGCTTTGGGATATTTGTTTCTCCTTTCCAACCATCATTGACCCGGGAGGCTTCTGAGTGTCTTCTACTCTCAGATAAAGGTTCAAGGAGAGCTCCAGGAAACCACACAATGCCACTGAGCCTGGTTAATGCTCAGTAAAGCACTAAAGCCTTGTGTCACTGCATTGAACGACTTGAGAGCTTCCATTCAGAGAGAGCTTGGCAGACAGCTGGCATTAAAAACTGAAATACCACAAGAAAAGTATGAGCTCTTGGCAAAAAAAAATAAATTTTGGGACCAGGCACTCTGAGAAGTACCTAATTTCACCTGCTTGACAACTGTGTTAAAAAAGGATTTTGAACCTGTACTTAGCTGGTCCACCAGCTGCTTTGGAAAGCCACCAGGAACCATAAAGCTTCTGAGCTCTTGTGGGTTGCTTCACCGACCTCACAGCAGGACAGCGGGGCTGGCCCAGGCTGTCACCCACAGAAAGGACTCCCCAAAAACCTGGTCTGTGTCAAATAGGGGATCAGCCAAACTTCTCACCTTCCAAACACACAAAGCCTGAACGCCCCGGCGCTGGGATGGCCATGGCCTTTGGGTGATTCAGGAGCAAGGGCAAATGTTTAGAGATTATATGCGTACATTTGTGTGTGTGCGTGTTGCAAAGAGTTACAGTCCTTAATATCTGCCAGGTCACTCTCTAAGTACCATAGCAACCCTACCCGTTGTGATACTGGCTCCATCCTAATGCACCAGGGGCACAACTCAGGGCTAAAGAGATGTTTTTACAATCTATAAATACATACAAACAGTGACTATATAATGTTTTCTGTAATGTAGCTATGGGAATACATGGCATTTATAGTAATTTTCCATATCTAGATTTATACCATGCCCTTTCTTTTTCTGTTCATAAATCCACTTCTCTATAAGCACTATGGAACTTTGTATATGAAAGGGAGCACATTCACAGGAGATTTTAAACGCAGTTTCTAGGCTAGAAACATCCAGGTGAGTTTGGACATACCTGGAATAGACATGGGACTCCAGTCCCCACCACGGCACCACCTGATGCCATGGCCATGGCTGTGGTGGCAGATCTCACCCTCTGGCATTCGCAGCATCTTTCTCTTATCGGTGTGACCGTGCCTTCGGGTTTTGGCAGGGCTTCTGCTTAAACACAGATCGTGACCACACAGTGTTATGCAAAATGGGGTTTCAATGCGATATTTCCCCAGTCCTCATGGGGAAGAGCACCTTCACAAGACCTTGGTGCTTGCTGCTCCTGAGCATCGGGAAATGCCCCGTGCCCCGTTACACCCCTCTGCATCTGGTAGAGCTTTGCCCTTCCCTTTTAACCACTGTTATTGGGGTGGAAGGGCGCACAAACATGCTATAATTGAGACTCAAAATTCCTTTTTCCTATAAACTATTGATGACTGTATGGACATATCTCCTGCAGTGACAGCCTCCTGCCCCCTGCTCATCCCCCACAATATCTAAGGTTTGTTCTGATCTCTGGCGAGTGCGTGCCTTGGCCAGGTGAGGTGCAGGGTGCCAAGATATGAAGTAATATTTGCTATCTGGCGTGCAGTACGTGTTGCAATACCCAGTCATAATCGTGTTTGAAAGTTATAATAGTGGAGAGAGTTATTAACCTGGGCTCCCTTCCTGTCTCTTGCGGCTTTCAATCAGACACTGGGTGTTTTTTAAGCTTTTTTTCTTTTTTTTTTTTTTTGAGCGTATAATTTTAGTACGTGCGTCAATAGAAGGTAGAAAGAAAACAGAATTTACTATGATAAAAGTGAAAGGACAGAGCCCCTGCCGCCCAGTGACACCCAGTGGGGAGACAACCCCCCCCCTCACCTCCCACGCTGGAGGAGCATCACCTTTGGGGCTGTGTCACCGGCGGGGCCATCACCCGTGGTGTGAATTACCTGTCCTGCAGCCAGCCTGGGGACCCACGGGGACCACCGGGCTCCCTCCCCTCCCTTTAAAAGCCTGGCAGCAGCAGCCTGTGCCAAGCACTCGGTGCCACCAGCCCTGCCATACAGCGCTCCGTCTCTTGCAGCCCGGCGGCCGGGAGAGGCTGAGAGATGGCCGAGGGGGAAATCACCACCTTCACCGCCCTGACTGAGAAGTTCAACCTCCCCCCGGGGAACTACAAGAAACCCAAACTCCTCTACTGCAGCAACGGGGGGCACTTCCTACGCATCCTCCCGGACGGCAAAGTGGATGGGACCAGGGACCGAAGCGACCAGCACAGTAAGCAAACGGGGCTCCTCGGGGCTTCTCCTCGCTCCGATGGTTTTATCGGCCAAGAAGGAGGGAGCTGGGGAAGATGGGCTCTGTACTGGGCTCTCTCCCTCCTGGTGGGCACAGGAGTCAGCACCAAACACACTATAGCCTGTGCTCAGGGGAGGGACAGTATGTACACCATCTATATATTCCAATAGCTTAAGGGGGCCTACAGGAGAGATGGGGAGGGACTCTGGATCAGGGAGGGGAGCCCTAGGAGGAGGGGGAAGGGTTTGACCCTGCAAGAGGGGAGATGGAGCTGAGATGTGGGGAAGAACTTGTTTGGTGTGAGGGTGGTGAGAGCCTGGCCCAGGTTGGCCAGAGAAGCTGTGGCTGCTCCATCCCTGGAGGGGTTGAAGGGCAGGTTGGAGGGGGCTTGGAGCAACCTGCTCTGGTGGGAGGTGTCCCTGCCCAGGGCAGGGGGTGGCACTGGGAGGGCTTTAAGGTCCCTTCCCACCCAAACCATTCCATAATTCTATGATTCTATTTCACACCTGCAGAAGTATTAAATCTGAAACCGGTCATCACCATAATTGCAGGCAGGCAGACTACACAGGGCCAAAGTGCTAATTGCAGCACGGCTGGCTGAGGCAGGGAGCTGGCAGCTGGAAAAAAAAGCCTTAGTAGCAGCCTCCCATCCCACACACCCACAGCCATGCCTGTGCCGGAGCTCTCGGTTCTCAGCAGAAGCCTCTGGGTACACCATATCCTGAGCAGTTACTGGAATAGAACTGGGACCTGCCAGGCTCCTATCTGGTCAGAAAAAAAAAGGGCTGGGAAGAGCCAAGTCTGCCTTAAAAATTCTAAGAAAAGCACTTTTATTTTCTTTAAACCACAAGCGTACATGTGGCCTTCTCCCCCCAAACTTAACCTTTCTTCTTGTTATTGTTGTTTTAATGAAAGGCGGTTTAGAGCAGGGTTTTCATTACAAACGCCGTTTCCCCACCACACGGCAGCGGGGGGGGCCAGGCCAGGATGAGCTCACCAAGGCTGGACAAACAGCATGGAGCAGGCAGCCTCCAGCCTAGAATAAACCAGGCACCAAACCCTTCTCAGACCCCTGCAGGAGGCAGAGGAGGACACTGACCCAAAGGATCTGCAGAAGACAGGACCAGTCTTGCAGGACCCACAAGCAGGAGAGGTTGTATGAGCTCAACCAGCATCTCTGCCATGTTTTGCCAGCGCTGAGATGGTGCCGGAGTCAGGAGGGGGATGCGGAGATTCCTGTCTGCCCTGGGGACCTCAGCAGGGCTGCTGGCAAGGTGACACCTCCTGGGAAAGGGGGTGCTGCCAGGGACAGGAGTGTCCAGCCTTCAGCCCACCATCTCACGGCAAGGATGCTGCCACACAGCCTAGACTTTTTTTTTCCCAGCAAAGTGAGCCTGTCACCCTGGAGCGAGGGTTTCCCCTCTGGCTGCTGGTCCCTACAGCCACAACATGCACACAGGCAGGGAGGAAGGGCAGGGAAGGTAGGCAGGGAGAGCAGGCAGGGAGATCAGGCAGGGAGAGCAGGCAGGGAGGGCAGGCAGGGAGGGCAGGCAGCATTCCCATGCATGGCATCTGCACCCCGGCACGCTGCCGTCCTGGGGCTGCCTGTTTGGAAACCTCTGCCAGAAAGGAACCTCCTTGTAAAGGATCTCGTAAACTTGGATATCCAAATGTGCAAATATTTACAGAGGAAACTCCTGGAAGGGCTGGGTGCCAGCGGAGCAGCCCTGCCGGCAAGGCCCCCTGCCTCTGAGTACCCACGGCTGCCCACCATCCTGCCCCTGCGCCGGGCAACCAGTAGAGATGCTCAGCACCATCCCTGGACCCTGACCTGCACCGTGGGACGCTGCTTACACCCACATCCACAGGGGAAACCCGGGGGTGACAGCGGGGAGAGACCCCCAGGGAGGGACAAGGCACGGGAACACCAGCGGCTCAGCCAGGAGACACCTGCGGTGGTGCTTTGCAAAGTGCCCACGTGCGTTTTGTTCCAGACAGATATCAAGGATTTGTATTTTTAGCTTAAATTGCCTTGGCAGGTGATAGCCCCCGCCCCAGGGAGGACCTCTCAGGAGAACACGAGTCACTCCCTCCAAACACTCGTTGTTCAGCCCTGCCTAAGGGTTCCCTCACCCTGTGCTTCGCTGCCGTGTGTGGGCACCTTGAGCTCACTCTGTGAAACGAAGAGAAAACTTACCAGGACACTGCAGACCCTCGAGGATGAAGCCCAAGGTCATTTCCACAAACAGCCTTATTTTCTTTATTTCATCCCATTACTTCACGGAAGGCAATATCTGTACAGACCTGTACCAAATGCAAGAATTTGTGCATGAGCTTCTTCCTCCGCACTTGCCCTTCTCCCTCCCTCTGTGGCCAGAGACCTTAACACCCCCAATGGCATCTGGAGGGTCCCACCAATAAATGAGATAATTTCTCCTGCTGGAATTCTCCATCCTGGGGCTGCAGCCCCGAAGCGAGTGCAAGGTGGGCTGGGGCTCCCAGCCTGAACCAGGGACTGCACATCACTGCAAATCTGCACCCATGCAATTTGCTCATCAAACAGAATTTACTGAGCAGGAAATGCCAAAAAAATGAAGACTGTGAACCATTACAGCAAAGATTTCACTGGGATGGGGCCTGTCTCTGAGCACACAGTGCTCTCCTCCCAAAGCTTCTCTCCAACAAAGTGGCCTCTTCTTTTGCCTCTTCCTGATAAATACCTTAAACAAGAACTTGAGCCAAGTTTTAATCATTTTCCGAGACTCCTGTAGTTAGCAAAATAAGAAAAAAAAAACAGGAACCCAAGGGGCAAAATACCTAACCAGACAAATAGAAAGGTTAAAGCTGCCGCGTCAGGCACAGGGTGCTGAGCAGAGGAGGGAGGTGGCACAGACACCCTGGCCTGGAGCTGACCCACTCCCCTCCTGCAGTGCAAGACCAATAAGGAGCTTTTTTTGCCCCGGAATTTCTAGTTGAGGTCCAGCATCGGGGATGGGGCTGAAAAGCCGGTGTCTGATGGGCTGCAGGAAGCGACGCCGCATCCCCAGGAGCCCATCGCCAGCAGGCACCGCTCTCCCTTTAGGACCAATTTCACATTAGCTCCACAGACTGGGACAAGCTGAGACGTGGCTCACGGCTACCTCTGGGAGGTATTTTTTAGGATGAAGACCAGCCCTTTCTATTTCTCCACTCCCTGCCTCCCACGCGCCGGATAACGCCGGCCGGGACACGCTGCCGGATGGGACGCATTGGATCGGGGCTTTGCCCACCCCTGGTTTAGCCCTCGAAATACTCCCTCATGTGTCACCCCTCAAGTGTCTCCTCAAAACCACATGAGAAATTTGTAAATTAGAGCCAGAATTAAAACCCCAATCTCCTGTGTCCCATTCCAGCCTCCTAACCAAAAGGCTGCCCTCCCTTTGATGTAAATTGAGAGGAAAAAATGGTCTTTGGTTCCTAGAGCGTGGCTGTGGGCTTTCTCTGAAGGAGAGGGTACAAGGAGGCACTTCTATTACACCCTGTACTCTCCTATAAACTCTTTATAAGCCCAGGCTTCAGAACAAAAATACCCTGCTAACTTTCCTGGCTGCCTGGACATTATCTCAGATAATCTTTATTCTTTTTTTTATTAGGTTATTTTCCTTTTACTTTTGTTGTTGTTGTTGTTATTGCTGTTTTATTTTTACTTCCAGTCCAACTCCAGCTGAGCGCGGAAAGCGTGGGAGAGGTGTATATAAAGAGCACCCAGTCTGGGCAGTACCTGGCCATGGACACCAACGGGCTGCTCTACGGCTCGGGAAGTGGGAGGGTTCCGTGGGGCCAGACACAGAGAGGGCTTGAGGTTTGCAGAGATCTCCTAGCTCTGAGTAACGCCAACCGCAAGCAACAATTAGCCTCTGTTTGTTATTTTGGCAGCTGGGCGGCCACTCTTCGTCCGGCTTTATTTTGGGGGGAAATGAATAAATAATCAAAGAGCAGCATTTACCGCGCTGCCTCTTGAAAAATATCATATTTGATATCTGAAAAAATATTTGATATCTGACAATTTTGCCCGTTTGATATCTGAAAAAATATTTGATATCTGAAAATTTTGCCCATGGCAAGGGGGTTGGAACTGGATGATCTTTAAGGTCGCTTCCAACCCAAACCATCCTGTGATTCTATGATTCATTCGAAATACCGTATTTCATATCTGGGGCAGCAGCTGCTTTTCATCCCCTTGATCTGAAAATTTTGCCCATGGCAAGGGGGTTGGAACTGGATGATCTTTAAGGTCCCTTCCAACCCAAACCATCCTGTGATTGTATGATTCATTCAAAATACCGTATTTCATATCTGGGACAGCAGCTGCTTTGCATCCCCTCGGCAGCTGCCAGCCCTGTGAGTGGGGACACAGGGGGACCCCAGTGGCTCCATCCCAGCTCCTCCGTCCCTGGCATCACCTTGCCCACACCCCTGCCTGCCTCCTGCTGCCTCTCCATGGCTGTGCCAGGCACGCCAGAGGGAGCAGCCCCAGGCAATGGCCCACAGCCACTCAGCAAAGACCTCCCTGCATTTTTCCTCTGCATCCTGGTCACACTGAGCCCTTGTCCGTGGCAGCGACAGCTTCTGCAACATCCCGGTGTGAGCAGGATGGTGCAAGGCAGGAGCCTACACCCATCCTGTGCCCAGGAGCTGCAGGGCACAGAGTCATGGAAAATAATCTGGGTCTTTGAGAATATCCCGTTTATAGCTATTGCCGAATGACACACCCAGGTCATGGACAAGTTACTGCAGGAGAAGCCCAGGGGACTAAATCAAGGCTACTTACCTCCACGCCTTAAATATTCACTTTACTGTGGTGCAAAGATCTCAGAGGTGGGTCTGGGCAGCATCATCTTAGCCAGGGAGCGCCCGGGCTGGCATCACACGTTAGGAACATGCATCCTCCTCCCCACAGCATCGCCCCGTCTCACTGTCCTTACCCCGGGCTCTCTTTCAGCAGTTACTGGGGGAGGAGTGCCTGTTCCTGGAAAGGATCGAAGAAAACCATTACAACACCTACGTCTCCAAAAAGCACGCGGATAAGAACTGGTTCGTAGGTCTGAAGAAGAACGGGAGCTGCAAGCTGGGGCCGCGGACTCACTATGGCCAGAAGGCGATCCTCTTCCTCCCGCTGCCCGTCTCGGCTGACTAACCCCATCCCTGGAGCTCAGAGACCACCCGAACCCCAAAACCCAACCAACGCCACCTCCTTTTCCCTCGCTCGCTCTCTTTTTGGCCAGCAGGAGAGAGCCAAACGTTAGAGCTCCGAGCTTTAGGTCAAGGCTTTACCAAAAATAGCCAACGCAGAGCTCCCCGGCTCTGCACGATGCTTTGCAGAGAGGAGGGGGAAAGCCCCCACACCCTCGCAGGGTCCCCAGCACCCCCCGTTCCCCCTCGGTGTGTGAACACCCTGCAGCTCCTGGGGACACCCCCAAACCTGCCAACCCAGAAACAGGGAACCCCCGAGGATGCTCCAGATACCAGGAAAATTCACACTTCTACTGTCCCCACTTCATTCTAACCCAAAACCTCTCTGGTACTCTGCATTAACATATTTATCCATCTAAGTATGTATCTTCTAATGTGCCCTTCAATCATTTCGGATTGCACTATCAGCCTTGTTGTCGAGTGCCAGGTTGGGTAAATGCTGCCGGCATCCTCGGCGTGTGAAGCTCAACCAGCATCAGCCAAAAGCTCCACAGACCTCCCAGCCTCCCTTCCAGTTGCTGTATTTCATGCTATTCCCTGCCCTATGTCATTTGTATTTATTTATTAAGTAAACGTGTCCCTTCTACAGTCCGTTCGTACGTAATTCGTAAAGAAAGCCCCTTGAGGTTGTCCCAGGACGGGGCCGAGCGGGCGATGCTGAGGGTGTGATGGTGCACAGGGACAGGCTGTGTGATGGTGGCACTGCCATCGCACCCCACTTGGCAATTGCTGGCACTGAAATCATTTCCCCACCTCTGGTTCATCCTCCTGTCCTCCCAGGCAAACAGGGAGCTGGTGGGGGTTTCTGGTGCTGCTTCTCACCTGGAGGAACCACGTGGAGGTCAAGGGGTCCCATCCCTGGAAGTGTTCAAGGCCAGGCTGGATGGGGCTTGGAGCAACCTGCTCTGGTGGGAGGTGTCCCTGCCCAGGGCAGGGGGGTTAGAACTGGATGATCCTTAAGGTCCCTTCCAACTCTAACCATTTTAGGATTCTATATTTATTTTCTGCTCCTCCTGGAGGGCAGTGGGATGTTAGCTGCTTCTCTTGTCCCTTCCCGAGCCAGGATCCCACACCCTGCCCGTGGGGAGGGCAGAGGAATGGCCCTGCAGGTATTTCCTGTGCCCACACTCAATGCTTGAAGGATGACAAGTATCGATCTCCAGTTTTCACTTACAATCCTCAATGGCCAAAAAGGCACATCTTTTCTGAATATACCAACTAAAACACTTTAATTAAAAGTAATAAGATAATAATGCTCCCAAAAAAATCTGCTCTGCACAGGTGCCTCCCTCTCCCCGACAAAATAAAGCACAGCAGCAGGATAATTGGGGATTTTTCTCTATCCCTGTACCATAAGACAGCTGGTTACCCCTAACCTGGGAAACCCCTGGGATTGTTTGCCAATGTTGCCTTATCTTACACACACAAATGTGATATAACTCACACCAAGCATACATGGGTCCAGTATAAAAGGTAAAGGAGTAATGATTCGTTAGCCACAAACCATGCACACACTTTTAATTACCCACCTGGTCTGGGCTCTCAGCGAAGGTCCAGGCCAGCGGTGGGTGAGGAGCAGATGGCTCCCTGAAGCCCTTCAGCTGACAGGGGCTATCCCATGGGGGTGCCATCATCATCCTCATCCTCACGTGTGCCCACACCCTGCATCTGCAGGGACACGGTTCCCCCAATGGGCCAAACCCCTTCTGTGCCGCTACGAGCATGTAATTGCTTAATTCTGGTGGATAAGAGTTGAGAAGTTTGACATTTAAACCAGTGCCTGGCAGTGTCCAGTAAGGACTGAAAATCTGCCAAAACCCCCGATTTAGGCCAAGGAGCTGCAGGAGGAGAAAGGAGGAGAGAAGGACCCAGCCACCGCTGATGTCCCTGGCACCACTGCCCTGGTGGGGCTGGCACCTGGGGGAGGCTACAGAGGGTGTCCCAATGGCAAACACACAGCTGGGCAAGAGAGAGCCATGGGGACGCCAAGGGCATCACCACCTTCCTCAGACACTGCGGCCGCTTCCCCTCTGAAAAGCTGGGCTGTCACTCAAAGCGAGAAAAAAAATGAATGAAGGCATGACCAGGAGATCCAGGTTTCTAATTAAACTGGAAAGTTGGAAAGTGTAACGCCGGATTTAGCCGTGCTGTCTTCCCACACCTCATTAACCGCAGGGCATTCCTCTCGTTAGGCTTCTGCCGCTCAGAAATGGCCACCGCAGGTACACGCTCGATGCCCAACTGGGGAAAAATGTCAACACTTTGTCTGAAAAATAATCCCTAAGGAAGCCACAGTAATTGCTTCAGACAGATGAACAAGCAAGGATGACATTACCCAGAGAAACCACGCTCGCTTTGGAGAGTTTTGTCCTCAGGGTGAGAGGTGAGGGGGGGGGAAAAAAAGGCTTAGAAGATTTAATAAAATCATTAGAGCTGCAGATCTCTCCCAGCGAGCGCAGTGAGAGCTGAGGCTGCCGAGGGGGGGTTTCTGGAGCGTGTCGGAGGGAAGGAAAAGCAAGTGGTGCTGGGGAGGGTGAGCTGGGGAGACACGGCCCGGTGGGAATGACAGCAATGTGCACTGTTAAATTGACAGCATTCACACCCAGCAGCAGCCAAGGGTGGCCCCGTGGACTGGATTCCAGCCTTTTTCAGCTACAACCTAGTGCCGTTTCCTGGCGGATCTCCCACATCCTAAAGACGTGGTGGGAGGAGGTGGTGCAGGGAAGGTGGGTCCTACGGGATCCCACAACCCTTCCTCCCACAGCATCCACGTACACACAACCTCACCAGGGCTCTCCAAAGCCGTATTTGTGCCTCCAGGCAAATCTCTCAGGTTAAGGGCATCCCTGAACAGCTCTTTTTTCCACATCTGCCCGATCCAGAAGGGCTCAGAACCGGGAAGGGCAATAACAAGCTGCACGGTGCAGGAGTTTGTCAGCTAGATCTAAAAGCCTGCAGAGCTCTTACCAGACTGTGACCTCCAGGACACGCCGTCAGCCAGGTCTCACCCAGCCTCAGAGGGCTCAGAACCTTCTCCACTCCCTCCTCCTGTGGGGCTCAGGACTCCTCTGCTGAGATTTAAAGCCCGCCTGCCACCTCCTGTTAACTGTTTGTCCTGCCCCGGGAAGAAGGGCATGAAAAGTCACACAAACTGTTGCACTAGGAGAGCCGAAGTTATTTTTCAAAAATATCACCCTTTACGTTAAATAAACAACTCTCTGACACGCTGCCGTTCCTCGGGGAAGAATGTAAATCTAACGGCTCCCATATGTTCCCCATGTGTGACATGAAAATGCCCAAGAAAGGAAAAAAGGTGGGCAGGGCTGGGCTGCCAGGTGCGCTGGAGGGTGGTGACACCTCTGCTTCGCTGGACAGACGGACCAGTGGTCCTTCAGTCCATCACCAGCTCCCTTTGAAGGCAAGGCAGCCGTCCTGCCCACCCACGGCCCCTCACCGCCCCCGGGGTCTGTGGGGATGTTATTCCCAGGGGTGCCAGACCTTTTTTGCAGCTGAAGCACTGTCTGCAGGGCCTTAATTAAGCTTGTCACAGCCCGGGGCCACCGCAGCCCGGGACCCTGGGGACCGAGCGTCCTGCAGAAAGGCCAGGGGATCACCGCCCCCGGGGTCTGTGGGGATGTTATTCCCAGGGGTGCCAGACCTTTTTTGCAGCTGAAGCACTGTCTGCAGGGCCTTAATTAAGCTTGTCACAGCCCGGGGCCACCGCAGCCCGGGACCCTGGGGACCGAGCGTCCTGCAGAAAGGCCAGGGGAGCACCAAGTCTGCAGGGGAAGGGTTTGACCCTGCAAGAGGGGAGATGGAGCTGAGATGTGGGGAAGAACTTGTTTGGTGTGAGGGTGGTGAGAGCCTGGCCCAGGTTGCCCCGAGAAGCTGTGGCTGCCCCATCCCTGGAGGGGTTCAAGGGCAGGTTGGAGGGGGCTTGGAGCAACCTGGGCTGGTGGGAGGTGTCCCTGCCCAGGGCGGGGGGGGTGGACTAGGTGGCCTTTAAATGTTCTTTCTAACCCAAACCATTCTAGGGGTGGGCTGGGACGAGCTCCTGCGGTGGGGGGCGCGTGGCTTCTCCTTCCTCTTCCTCCCAAGCCAGAGGGCTGCTTCGCCCATGAGACAGCGCTCGGCCCCAGCCCCAACAGCCAAAACAACCGAAGCAAGGAAGCCTGAAATAATCTATTATTAAGCTCTGGGAACTGCTGGGAATCCAAGCAAAAGGAAAGCTTGGGTTTCCGCTGCTTTCCTGCGGTTGGCATTTTGGAAAGGCTGCCGGAGGACACACACGTCTCGGGGCGGGTGAGGCTGCGGGTGCCACGGGGTGGCACGGCGGTGGGTGACCAGGGCCAGGGCTGTAGGACACCACGATGCCATGGACCATCGGCCCCTCAGAGGCGCTGGCAAGGACCAAGGGACCCCCCCAGCCTGAGCCTGGCTCTTGGTGATGCTCATCCCTGTGGCTCTCCCCGTGCCGGGGTACAGCGGTGCTCTCCGTGCCCCCTCCACACACCCCACCTCCAACAGCCCCCCACTGCACCCCGGACCTCCCTCCCCACCATCCCCAGCCTTCCTTGAGCACAGACAGAGGGTTGTGCCAAACCCTGTCATGCTGTGCTAACTGAAGTAAGCTCTTGGGACAGCAGTTCTGTTCCCATGTGTGCCCTGACTCTGCTTTAAACCAGTCTCTGCAGCACCCTGAGCTATGGGGGGAGTTGGGGTAAACCTCTGGGGTGCTGGGACAGTGTAAATCAGTTATTTAACCAGAAACATATTTCCATGGGGAAGGTCGCATCAGGAAGAAGGGGGGGAAGGTCTGGCCAACCTCTGCCTCGAAGCATCACCACGGTTAGCACAGGTTGGGCTGTTTCTGAGCACGTGCAGCAATTAGTTCTGGCTAGTGCGGGTGGCCTGGGGCAACCACTAATCCCAGCTCTCAGGCTGAGCCCCTCAGGAGGAGGGAGGGAGAGGCCCCCCCTTGCAGCCCGTGCTCTGCCCGAGACACTGAGCGTCAGGAAGCTGCAGCTTAAACCTCAGTGTAATCCCCACACAAAGAGGTGGTCACTGGTAATGGGTTTACCTGCTTAAATCTCCCCGGACGTCCCTGGCTCCCAGGGTTTTCCCTTCCCCACTAACTCGGTGCTGCAGGAAACTCTGCTTCCCACATTAAGCAGCTTGGCTGCGGCAGCACAGGCAAATGCATTTATCACGCCGAATTCCCGAGCTGTTACAGCGCGGAGTTTCCGGGATATGAATCCTCTGTCGCTCACATCCTCCCTCCTGCCCCGTTTCCGGAGCCAGGCTGCGACGCATTTATCACCCGAGGCACAGAGCATCTTCACACACCCCCCTCAACCCCGAGGCTCTTCCCCTGGGACCATCTGTCACCACCAAATGCACATGGGAGCCCTGGTGGACGCAGTGACCCCCAAAACCACCTCCCACTCCCCCTGCCAGGGCTCACGTCTGCCCCATGTGAGGGCTCCTGGGCAGTGGGGACATTTGGGACAAGCTCAACCCACTCCCCACCACCACAATCCACTTATTTCCCTGCAGAATTCCTCCCCCCCTTATCCCAAAACGGATTTCCTCCTTGCAGCACAGGAGCTGGGAAGGGGGGTGGGTGGGCACCTGCACCCACACGTACCCAAAGAGCCAACCTCTGACCTGCGCCTCAATTAAAAGGGGTTTCTAGACTCAAATTAGCAAACAGGAGCCTGATTCTGGAAGGAAAGGCTCTGTCACAGCACTGCTGAGCAGGACCCTGCTCCCAGCCGTGCCTGCGCAGGGCTCTCAGGGAAACATTTGCTATTTCGGATGCTCCCGTGGCATCTGGGGAGCCAGCAATGGGCATCTCCTCCAGGCTGCCCTTCCCAGACCATTTGAACCGCACTTATCCTGCAGTTGATGTTCTTTCTTTTTTTTTTTTTTCCTTCCGAGATGCTAACAACTTCTGTGGATCCATCTGGATGTTATTAGGAAAACATCTCGGGTCTGCTGAGGCTGCTGGCAGCAGGCTCCTTCCTCCCTTCCCCTGTCCCGGACCCCCCGAGGCCGATGCAGCGCCGGCGCAGGAAGAGCAGCAGTCGCATCTCTGAGGTGCTGAGCACCCCGGGACACGCTCCCAGCCCCAGCAGGGTCCTGCACTCCCCCCTCCCAGCACAGAAGGGCCACGCAAAGACCCACTGGGGTGGCAAACTCACGTGTGGCTGAGCAGGGGAGCAGCCAAGGGTGGAAACTTCTCCGTGTGCTGCTCACCCCTTGCTCTCCCCAAGCTCTTCTTCCCAGGGCAACTTCGAGATTTACCAGGTGTTAAGAGATTTTGGCTCATAAGACCCCAGGAAAGAATCACAGAATGGTCTCGGCTGGAAGGGACCTTTCAGATCACAGAGTCCAACCATCAGCCCAGCACTGACAAACCCACCGCTGACCCGTGTCCCTCAGCACCACGTCTGCCCGGCTTTGAAATCCCTCCAGGGATGGGGACTCCACCACCGCCCTGGGCAGCCTCTGCCAAGGCTTCACAACCCTTTCCGTGAAGAAATTTTTCCTAATATCCATCCTAAACCTCCCCTGGAGCAACTTGAGGCCATTTCCTCTTGTCCCATCTCCTGTGACTTGGGAGAAGGGGGGGGGAACAATTCACAGATCTACTGACATAACCAAAATTGCACCCAGTCTCAGGAACAACAATGTGCCTCAGTTTCCCCACTGCAAAAAGGAACTAAATACCTCTTGAGGCAACACCAGTGAGAAACCAGTTCCCCAGCAGAAGGGACGAGCCCCTGTGTCCTACCTGCCCCCTTGCTCAGGGCTTTGGCGTGTCCTGAGCACCCCAGCTCCAGCCTCCAGGAACCAGTGTGGCCTGATCCTGCGTCTGCCAGACCCACAGTAGCCGTGGGGCTCATGTCTTCTTCTCTTTGGCCATGTACCTGGGCAGTCACCTGTGGCACAGAGGGGATGACAACATTATTGATAAACACAGGGGCTCCTTGCTGCTGATTTCAACTCATCATGAATGTCCTTCACCAGGACACCCACCTGCCCCCCTTGTCTCTGGTCACAGAATCCCAGAATGCTATGGGGTTGGAAGGGACCTCTGGAGATCATCTCCTCCAACCCCCTGCCAGAGCAGGTCCACCCAGAGCAGGTCCCACAGGAACGTGTCCAGGCAGGGTTTGAATGTCTCCAGAGAAGGAGACTCCACCACCTCTCTGGGCAGCCTGTTCCAGTGCTCCACCACTCTCACAGTAAAGAAGTTCCTCCTCATGTTTAGATGGAACTTCTTATGTACAAGTTTGTGCCCGTTCCCTCTTGTCCTGTCCCTGGGCACCACTGAAAAAAGACCAGCCCCATCCTCCTGATTTAGTATTTATAGGTGTTGATCAGATCCCCCCTCAGCCTTCTCTCCTCCAGACTAAAAAGACCCAAGTCCCTCAGCCTTTCCTCATCAGAGAGATGTTCCAGGCCCCTCAGCATCTTTGTAGCCCTAAGGTCATTCAATCCTTTTCCCATTTTCTGAGCAGGGACTTGCAATAGTCACTATTTCCTTGCACAAAAGCCCAGTTCCCCGGGGCCGTAGCTGACGGCTTCCATCACGGGGAGGATGGTTTTATTTAGCTGTTACAGCTACATCCTGAATGCGACCATAAAGTACATTTATCCTTTATGGCTGAGCTCGGTGCCAAATTAGTCCCAGTTTAGGGCTCGTGCTCTGTAGGTGGTGTTTACCAGGGGCTTCTCCTACGGGAGCCACCGGGGAAATGCAGGGGAGAACAACGGGGGGAGCAGCATTAAGTGTGGGGGCTGCTTCTCCTTGCAGGGACCGGGTCTCCTCGGTGCCCCCGGAGAGGAGACAATCTCCCCTCAGTCCCCCCGGGGCAGGGGACCAAGCCGTGCCACATCCCAGGAGCAGCAGTGTCCCCCCCAGTGCCACAACCACCCCGAGGGGCCACTGGCTCCCGCGGTGCCGCACAGGCAGAGCCACCCCGGGAAGTGTTTCTGGGGCAAATTAGTGAGAAAAATGCACCTGTTGGACAAGAGCCCATGTCCAGATCTACAGGCAAACACAAATCAAGCCTTTCAAACTGCAATTGCCAGCTTCTCGGATTAAAACCATGTCCTGAGCACAGGATTTTAAAAGGAGGGAAAAATTTAGGCGCAACCACGAAAAAGTGAACAAGCAGATAAATCAGGCTGCGAGGTTTCTGCTCTTTAGAGAATATGGCCTCGAGCTCAGGTCCAAACCCTCCTCTCCAAGGACGGTTCCAGCTTTCCAACACAAAACCAATCGCAGCCCAAAGCCATCTGAATCCAATCGCTGCTCACTCAGGCACATCCATCCTTGTCACCAAGCACGGAAATTCAATATATGGCAAGAACTTGCAACAAAAAAAGCTAAATTCTGTTTATTTTCATAGCAGTAGGTTTGGCCTAAACCCTTTATTCTTGTAAAGAGAGTCAGTAACTCCGCTGCTTCTTTTTTTACCCTCTTTTAATTACTTTTCTTAATGAAATGAAAACGGGCAGGAAGGCTGTGGGGCACTATCAGAGCATCTTTGGCCAGATGCACGCTAGCCAAAGGTGCAATTCCAAAACAAGACACTGCAGTAATGAATTATAATTAAGATACAGTTTTACCAATTTTCCTCAGTCTGGGCAGGTTTTCCACGGCTTCCCCAATACAAAAATCCTTATTTTTTTCTAGTTAAACAAGCTTTCTAACCAAGAGTTTGAATTGGGCAGATTGTGCCCTTACCATGTCTGCCCCTTTCAACACTCTGAAGGTGGGAAAACCCCTACAGGCAACTTGGGTTTCCCCATCCAGGTTCCTCCATATGCCAGGCATAATCCAGTGGGAGCAAGAGGGGAATTTAGGAAGGGGAGGTTTTGCAGGGTGATTTTTTGCAGAGAACAAATGAATGGCACAGCTAGAAATGCATGAATGGGACGGTTCACAACGTCCAGCTGGGCCAGGCTGGGGGCTGTCACTGGGGAGTGAAGATGCTGTGGTCCCATCTCCTAGTTCAGGGACTGTGAAACATTCCCTGTATACAGGGGGATGTCATGGCAGTACTGAGCGTGGCCCAGGTACCTCCACATGAGGGCTGGAAGAAGGGAGGAAGGGAGGGAGGGATGCATCTGATGCATCCAAGCAGATGAGAGTGATGGGCAGAGCTGGAGCCCAAAGGATGCCGGTGGGAAGCCCGCTCACTCCAGCTTGGGTCATCTCTGCTCCCAGGCTCCTTTCTAGATGGTTTCCTCCCATCCTTCTTATGGAAAAAAGAATGGTGATGAAGTAGCAGGAAGGGAAAAGCAACCCAAGCATCTCGCAGGCTCTGGGTCCAAGCAACACCGTGCGGGAACCACCCCACCCCCAGCTCCCGTTGGGTAACTCCGGTTCCTTCACCATTTCAGGCTTTAACTTTCAGCCCGTACCGTGTAGTTTATATTGTGTTAAGCCCATCTAGACAGCGAGCAATTTCCTCGTGCTTAACAGCCCTTCTGTTCCTCCCTGACATCCGCCGCACGCTGCTAAGCCCGGCCGATTAACACTGTCTCCACCAAAGAGCAGAGAAAGGTCCCCACAGCTCTTAAACACATCCGTTCCTCCAGCCTGCCCGGGCAATTAGTCCTGTAGGCTCCGGGGCTGTGTTTCTGTAACATCCCTTCTTCCCTCCTAATGCTTGTTAGACATTAATTTGTTTATTTCATGCCCGTGCTGTGGATGCCAGCATGGCCACCACAGCCTCACGGGTCAGTCTGCTCCCCCGGCCAGGGGTTGCTCTGTCCCATCACTCCAAACCCTTCTCTTCTCTCTGCACAGATCTGCAGGTTTTAAACCTTGTTTTTTTCTCTTTTATATTATTAAAATACTTTTTCTGGTCATTCCTCACAGCTCACATCCATACTGCCCCGGTGCTGCCCACCGCAGGCTCCATCCCTGCTGCCCACCGCTCCCAGCCCACCTCCCCCTGCCACCAACCCAGAAGTTACACCCCCACAAAAGAGTTAAAAGCCAGCCTGGAGAGTTGCTTCTGCCCCACTTTGGTGCCTGAACATCATCCAAAAGCAATTAGGCAGCACACAATGACTCCGTCAGCGAGGTCCTGCACGGACAAACGATGCGACAGCAGCAGCACTGTCCACCCCACAGCTCACATCCATACTGCCCCGGTGCTGCCCACCGCAGGCTCCATCCCTGCTGCCCACCGCTCCCAGCCCACCTCCCCCTGCCACCAACCCAGAAGTTACACCCCCACAAAAGAGTTAAAAGCCAGCCTGGAGAGTTGCTTCTGCCCCACTTTGGTGCCTGAACATCATCCAAAAGCAATTAGGCAGCACACAATGACTCCGTCAGCGAGGTCCTGCACGGACAAACGATGCGACAGCAGCAGCACCGTCCACCCCTCTCCCCTCCGGGATTTCCACCCAAAGCCGTTCCCATTCACAAGCACAAAATCAATGTTTTTTCCTCCCATACTGCCAGCACTGACCCCCCCCAGCCCAGGCTCCCTCTGCCTCGCATGGCACTGTCCCCCCACGGTCCTCATCCCACCCCAGGTCCCCCCAGCAGCTCCTCTCAGAGGAGACCAGCTCGACAAGAGGAGAACCCAGCTTCCTCGCAGCGCTTTTCGGGGGCAGGAGGGACCCAGCAGCCCGCACAAGAGTGTTGCTCAGATTTAATTAAGCCCATTTAAAAACTGATGCCTGTCTCACTGCTGCCGTTTCCACGCGTCCGGCGGCCCCGGGCAAAGCTGGCATTTCCCGAGGGGGCCAACACAAACTGCCACCGGGACACAACCCTCTAAACTCTGACAAATCTGCAAATAAGTTAAGCGTCAAGAGGAAGAAGAAAAGAAGAAAGCGCGGGAGCCAGAGGCAGGAATCTGCAACGGGGAACAGCTCCATCTGGGCTTGGCATCGGCGTGTGCTCACCACATCACTGCACCGGGGGACGGCGGGTTCTGGCCGGAGACAAAGCTGCTGGCTCCGGCCCCGCGGGGATCAGGCCAGTGGAAACGCCGAGGGCTGCAGGCAAATTCTCAGCTCAAACGGGGGCCACACAGCTCGCTGCCAGGGATTCCTGAAAAATACAAAATAAATAAAATAGGTGGGCGCTTCCCTGCCCTGTCCCTGCTGGGGCCCGAGCGGCGCTGCCGGCGGTGGGGGGCCGGGGGGCTGCCACCAGCATCACCTCTGCTTTCTGTCCTGGGAAACCATCGCTTCCTGCTGGCGCTTTATTTATCCCCCGTGTTTATTTTCTATATGGTTTCTCCTGAAACACGTCCGTGTGCGACTTTCTAGGCTTTCCCATCCCGCTGGGGTGAACCCAGCGTATGCGGGATGACACAGAAGATTAAATCAGCCATCGCTGCTATTATTGTGCTCCTGCTTCTGCCAGCTCTGCAGAGCCTTTGTGAGGTTTGGGGTTTTTTTTTTGTTTGTTGGCTTTTTTCTTCCCCCCCTTTTTTTTTTTTTTTTTTAAACTGAACTGGTGTTTTTAACACTTGCTGGCTTCAGTCTTTTCAAAAGTTAGAAATAATAAAAAAACAATCCCAACTCTGCTCAGATCTGCTTTTCCACATTTTCATGAAAAGAAGAGCATCTCTGGGGATGATTGGTGGGATGTGCCACCGGAGCAGCGACCGTGGGTCCTGTTCTGCCAGTTGTAACCGTGCTCACAACCCTCACAGGACCTCAAATCTGCGCTTGTTGGGACAGAGCATTTACACACACACCTTAGTCCAGAGAGAAGCAATTTCCTACCCACCAGCTGGTTTTGTCTGTGTCCTACAGTGCCTTTGGGGGACAGTGGGACATGAGACTTTGGAGAAAAGCCCATCTACAACCCACCCCAGAGAGTCAGCGTAACCATGGGACAGACACTCCAGCGTTGTAAACCAGAGATGTTCTCCTCTCCCTGTCACAGGGCAGGAGAAGGACAAGAACCAGCATTGAAACACTTCCACAGCGCAAAAATCCTGCAGTGACTTTTATTTTTCCCCCAAAACTGAGTCATGGATCCAAACTTAGCCCTGGTTGTTCCACATGAGAAGGTCCTTTGCTGGTGACCTCATGGAAGGTCAGTGACTCCAAAGCACCACTACTTTTCCAGAAGGACCCCATGGTTTTCCTTGCCCTCATTCCACCTCCCAGAGGGGCACAGCCTGCTGCACAGCTACCCGGGTGTCAAGGCACAGTGTCCAGGACAGCATCTGCCCCTCTGCTTGCCTCCTGCCTGGTCCTGGTGGCCTGCCCATCTAGGGACCGTCAGCTGCCCGGGGGGAGATGACAGGATGCTGAGCCCTGGCTGGACCAGTGCTGAGCCACCATCACCACCACCACCATCCCCCAACCCAACGATCAAGAATGAGAATTTTAAAAAAATAGAAAAACTCCCTTTGAAATCAGTTTTAAGTAAACAAAAAATTGATCTCACAAGCTTCAGTAACCACAAGCATAAATTTGGGTTTGGCTGGGTTCTGTGTTTTGCTTGGGTTCTTCTGCATCGCATATGAAGCCTATTTTAAGATGATTTGCTCGAGCGGTTCAGCGTATCACCAGGGCCAACACGCTCTCCAGAGTCACCTAGGAGCCACTGCTGTCCCCATGGCCACCAGTGCCCCCGCAGCCGTGAGAGGCAGAGCTGGCCTGAAGAGCAAACAAAGTCCCTTATTCCTTGGGCTCCTACTGCCACGGGTGAGCACTGGCATCAGCCAGTTTGGTGTGCCCAGGAAAGGCAGAGTGGGGAAAGGTAAAAGTATGACCTTTCCAGAAAACTTAAAAAAAAGAAGAAGAAAAAAGAAAAAATATAAATTAAAAAAAAAAAAATGGATAAAAAGGAAGGAAAATTAAAAGAAAAAAAAAAAAGTAACTCTATACCCTCATTTTATGGCAGCAAACGGCACGGTATTCAGCCAGCAGGACTGGAGGAAGTTTTGGGTCACACACCAGGAAAAATGGCACGCTTATGAGCGTTAGCCCACTTCCTTTCCATCTCTGCACCCAGCAGCAGTCACTCTTCATCCCTTGCTCTGAGCAAAGGCATTAAAAGAGGCCAAAGCTGTGCTGGGGAGATGCAGAGCTGCCGTTTCGAGCTGGCCCGCGTTGGAAGCGGGGCTCAGCACGCAGCCAGCGGCGGATCCAAACCTCCCCGGGGCTCCAGGCAGCAGAGGATTGTCCAGCCGGATATTGGCTTGGCTCCACTCACCATTACAAATTACAAAAATAAAATAAAAGCAAGCCAAGTCATTCTCGCTTGTTGGGCAATTGCCCCCAAATCAGGCATCTGCATCTTCAGCAGGCGTAAAGACATAAAAAAGGAAGGGAAACGAGGGTTTCTGGTGTCTGTTTGGAGATTGGCCTGGGCAGCTGGAAGAACATTAAGATATATCCTAAGTTTCAGAGTGAAAAAAAGGGGGAAAAAAAGAGAAAAGAAAACTAACTAAGGAAAGAAAATATCTTGCTTGTGCACTGAAGCCTGTCAGCCACACAACCCAACAAATGGCTTAAGAGAAAAGCGAGGGAAACCACCACCAACCGCCCGCTGGGGTGTGTTCCCACACCATCCCCAGCAGCTCTGTCCCACCGAAGGTCCCCGGGGGTCCCTCTGCAAGGCCAGGGGTGAGGGAACTGCCGTGGAGGACAGCAAGTGGGCAAACTGCTGAAGGAAAAGGTAGAGGAGACGCCGGAGCAAAGGCTGTGTGAGGCCAGGAATCCCAGAGCCTCGGCTCCTGGCTCCTTCTGCAGCAACAGAAAACGGGACCTGGACCACGACAGTGAAGGGACCAGCATCACCATCCTCTGAGCTTTGGGGATCTGGGGCGATGCTGAGATTGCTGGACTGGGCCCGCTGCAGAAACACAGCACAGGACACAACAAGGCAGACTGCTATGGAATAAAAGTATTAGTTACGTTTCTTGGGGCCGACATATCATTGATGTGGCATAAAGCCACATACAGCTGTGCCTTTACCTACCAGGAAAAAAAATTACCAAACCAAATTCACACCCATAAAACACTGACAGCTTTTCCCCAGGTATTTACCGTTGGAAGAACAGCTGGTTTTATCATTTGAAACTGGGGTGCTGTATAACATTTAAAAAAAAAAAAAATTAACTAGCTTGATTGTAGGTTGGCTTTATGTATTCATTCACCATCAGCGAATTATTCAGTTTTCTAGAATCCCAACAGAGGAACCCTTCCCACTGCCTACGCTGAGACGTGGTACGTGCTTTTAGTGGTTTAGCAGCTGTGCATCCTGTCTGTCCTCCGTGACAGCCCTGAGTCCAACCGCAGTGCAGAGGGCCTGAAGTACATTTGCACTTTTGTATTAACTTGAGTATAAATATATATTTATATTTGTCATACATCCAGGAAGGCTGATTTTTCAAAGGGCTTGGAACAAGCAACAATTATAATCAGGAAGTGAGCGGAGCGCGGTGTCTCCCATCCTTTTATGGAATAAAAGTCTTGTTTCTATTATAGGGATATATCTGGAATTAAACTCAAGATACCTGAATATAGGGGGAAAAAAAATCAGGATTTTACCTAGAAATTTCATACTGTTGCTGTCAGCTATGATTTGGGGAAAGATTTTCACATTTCAACACAGAAAGAAAAAGTATTTCTAACTGCTATCACGGAAAACAATCTGGGACCTCTGTGAAAAGCAATCTGGCTGAACTGCTGAAGCACCTGGAGAAGAGCACATGGAGGTGGCAGGGCCAGAACATCATTTAACTTACCCAAAGGTAGCTCTGGCACAGGTGTGTACGTCACCTTTCACGAGTACTGGATCTCTCACCCACACAACAGCACTTTCAAACCCCTTGCACTCTTTGTGCATCCCTGGATGGAAAGAATAGTGCAAATTAGCCATTAGCCAAGATTATTCAGCTTTAGTGAGACTCTGCACCTTGCTGCCGCAGCAGAAAACCTCCCACCATCAGCATCTCAGCAAAGGAAGCCTGGGGATGGCCCAGAGAGGTGTCACAGGATGGGTGATAAGGGGTTATTTCTAGATGTTTCATTTTTTAATGATTTTTTTTATGCTTTTGCCCTTTTTATTCCAATTGGATAGATCTTAACCTCTCTGCCAGCAGCGTTTGTACTGCTGCGGAGGAGCAGCATCTCCACCAACAGACCCAACGGGACACGAGAAGCAAACCCCTCATCCCCGGGGCTGGCCTTCCCCCTCTCCCCATGAGGAGCAAGTCCAGCAGGAGCCTGTGAGGGACTTACTGGAGAGCACACAGTGGCCTTTAACCACCTGCTGCAAACGGAAAAAGAAAAACGCCAGGGAGAAAAAGCAGATCCTATTGTGTCTGGAGAACCGTGGCTCCGCGAAGCACAAGTATTTAAATAGACAAGAATCTTTTGTCCAGGAAACTGAGCACTAATAATAACAATTTGGCTTCCTGCAAAGAAGGCTTCTTCCCCAGCTGCTTTCCACGCTCTCTGCCTCCTCCCATCCTCCCGGCCCTTCTCGTCCCTCTCTCCCCCCTCAGGCTCCTGAAAAACCCATGATTTTCCAGGCTGCCTTCACTGCGGGCTCCAGCTTTCCCTCCTCCACCAAACATTCGGATTTTTCTCTTTGATTCCCTACTTGGTTTTCTCCTCCAGGCTCCCTTGGCAAACACACACAAAGAGAAAGCCTCTCCAGATCTGGTGTCCACTGCCACCACATCTCCTAACACCCCCAAACTCACTGGGAGAGCCTGGTCCTGCTGGCACAGACATCCCACCCAGAGGACACAGGGCCAGGACCAGCACAGGCTCATCCCAGAGTCTCCACCGGCATCTTTTCCCAAATTCCCATAGTTTGCCAAAGCTTGGGGGAAGTTTTAGCAGGGATGAAGGAGGACAAGGCTCAATGTCCCTTCTCCCCATCATCTTGCCAAACCCTGGCCAAAGCATGGAGGTGTTCCAGCTCTCCAGACAGCTGCGAATTAGTTCTTTGTTCATTCATTTTGTGTGGGCAAGCTTCCCAGGTCAACCCTAAAAAACCTACCTCACCCCAGGACACTGGCCCCGCGTGGGGGTGTTGAGATTTGCCGCTGTGGGGGCAGACAGGCACTTTCTGTGGCCGGGCACCTCATCAAGGGAGGACAGGAAATTTCCTGAAGCCAAGACAATGCCCTAATTTGTTCCTGCCAGCGCAGAACAATGCTCTTGAGGAGCCAGCAGCCATCGCCTGTGAGAACCAAAGTGGTGGTCCTCATCCGGCCCCCCTGGAAGAGCCATCCCTGTCACCACGGTGGGTGTCACAGAGGGCTCCTGCCGGGACCGTCCCCACCGCAGCCCCCGGAAAAGGGACCCCCCGGGGCACAGCCCCTCACCGCTCCCCTCCTAGGGAAAAAAATAAACTGAAGAAAGACATTGAGGTTTTGGAAGTGAAGGATTACCTGGAGGAAACGTAGGGCTGAGCGAGTTGTGTCTGGCGTGGAAACAAGCCGGGTCAAGGGCAAGGAGATGGTGGTGCTCAGAGGTCCCAGCTCGAGTCCCTCCACGTCCCACCGCTGGCCGGGGTCCAGAGGGTCTCAGCAGAACCAGCTCTTCGTAAGGTGACAAATTTGAATACTGATGTGCTTGGTAACAAGAGGAATATAAAAACAAGTAAAAATAAAGGGGTTTAAGGAAAACGTATCTTGTTCCCATCCAAAGGAGTTGAAGAGAGAATTTTTTGACACTTTTCCCCCATAGCTCAACAAATGTACTGGAATCAGTTTAAGAACAGAAAATTCACAGACAGAAAAAAATATCGTTCAATCAAGAATTAAGTGTCATGACACTGTTGGTGCAAAATCTTCACTGGTTCTACTAAAGCAGATTGGATTTAATGTTGTTTTGACCTCTTGACTTCGGCAGGGCCCCCATCCCGCTCCACATCCTCACCCCAGCTTTAAAGCAGAAGATGGGTGTGGGGTCAGGAATGGCTGCAAGACACATCCATGTGCTGCGGGCATAATATTAATGAAAATATATAAATTGGGGGTCAGATTACACAAAACCTAAAGAAATTGAATCCAAAGTGGCAGTTTTAATTAAATAGTAGCTCAGCATTTCTTGGAATATTATAAAAAAATCCCAGAAAGTAATATATAATTATGCGTCTACAAAGCAGCATTTAGACTGATGGCTCCAAGTATTCTATTGATTTGAAATATATTGTCTGAATACATTTTACATATGTAATACTTGTTATTTTAATAAATATGTGGAGAAAACATGGAAATGTGTATCTGTTTTTAGAAACAAATGGCTAAATCACCGATCCCTTCATTTGCACGAGAAAAGTGAAGCAAAGGCTTCACTCCTTTTATTTTATTTTATTCTTATGCAAGTAATGATTTAGAACATGTACATTATCATCAACACTATAATCACGGTCCCGAGTCTATAATCCCCCAAAGGAAGCCTGCACTGCACATAAACTAAGTCTACTGGGGGCTGTTGAAGCTTAAAGTTCCTTAAGTATTATTTTTAAGTTCCTCTCCATCAAGGATATTATGAGTAATAAGAGTAGCTGCAATTGTGGCTTTTTAGAAAGTGTTCTTCCCAGCTTGTTCTAGAAAGGCTATTTTAAAGGTCGCGTTGCTGAGCTCGTGGCGCGGTGCCTTGGCGAGCTGGTATAAAGTAAGTGCATTTTAGTTGGCATCTGGTTGAGACTATATTTTCATTCGCAAAAAAATTGAAAAATTCTTGGAAGAACTCCACAGCCTACAAATAATAATAAAAAAAAATAATAAAATTGCTCTTCTTGAAAACTAGTTAGGAGTTAATGATAATTCCACTTTGGGCAGGAAGGAAGGGTTTAGGCTGGACGTCCCCGAGTGAGTCGGGAGGATGTTCAGCACAGCCCTGCTCTGCCACTCGGGTCCAGTTCACAGCCCCAGCCCCCGCCACACAGGACAAAACACCCCGTTTCCAGGAGATATATTAAACATATTCCACAGGAGCAAATTACTTTTATAGGCACTAAGTAATTCTGAATATGTGAAAACTTTCTGAATGGAGTTCAAATCCAGCTTTTCCTTTGATACATCCCTAGAAGGAACTTCAAACATTAATTCCTGAGAAATGTAGACGAAACCACGTAAAAGCCGTAGCCATCCTAAATACGTACAATGGGATCCCTTGTGCCGAAGATACAGTGAAACATTCATAGACATTGCAACTCAAATTCTGATTTATTCCTGCATTTAGCTACCGCCGGGTTACAATTCTGGTTAGAGCGTCCATTTGCCTAAAATAAATATTTGTAACGACCTTAATGAGCTTTGGAGGGATCCTGTGTTGGGAAAAAAACTGGTCATTATTGGGAAGGACCTGCTGTAACTTCCACACGAGAAGCAGGCTCTGGCACTGGGAATCACCCAAACAGAGCCGTAAGAGCAGAGGCAGATACGTGACCTCTCCTTTTGTACAGAAGAAAAAAACCCCAAAACCTGCTGTGCTATTTATTTATTTTCAATAAAACGTCCAGATTGAAGGTGGCGAGTGTGAATTGGCAGAGGTATGGGCAGGTGCAGGGGTTTGTAGCTTCACAAGGACTTACCGGCAGCGGCACGGGTTGGAGCCCTGCACATCAGGGCACCTGGGGATGATTCACCTTGGGCGAGGGGAATGAAAAATCACATACACGTGTCCTGTTCACTCCTTTGTCAACAGCCTGCGTTATCTGGGATGCGACACACATCAGAACACAACTGCCCCAGCTCCCCGGCAGCGAGCTGCGCCACGGCCCGGACTCATAAATGTTTCATTGCCCTCCTGGAACGCAGACGGCCGCTTTTTTAGCAGTCTATGAAACAATATTGTAAACAGCTCAGCTATTCTCCCCTCTGGCCTTGGCAGAGCCAAGAACAATGTGCATTCAGAGACCAGAACCCTCAGCCTTGGCCATCCCGCCCCGGGGATGCTCGGCGTGGCCGTCCCGACCCGCTGGCCCCGGGGGCAGCTCTGGCTGGATGGAGGGACAGGGTGGAAGATGAACAAGGCAGGAGAGAGGGCTTAGAGTGAGCAAAAAGGGTGAAGCCAGGGATGGGAGGATTTAACCCCGGAGCCGGTGAGCACGCCCGGCTGGATGCGCCTGCCTGAAAAACAAGAAATCCAATA